CGGGTCCCTGCCTGGCGTCCCGCCCGCCGCGCCTGGAGCGGTGTCTGCTGTCCCGGTGAGGAGGTCGCAGATCCCCGCCCTGCTCCTCACAGGCCCGTCGAGCAGCGGGACACCCCTCTCCTCCCAGGGCACCCCTCTCCTCCCAGTACACCCCTCTCCTCCCAGGACATCCCCTCTCCTCCCAGGGCACCCCTCTCCTCCCAGGACATCCCCTCTCCTCGCAGGACACCCCCTCTCCTCCCAGGACACCCCTCTCCTCCCAGGACACCCCCTCTCCTCCCAGGACACCCCCTCTCCTCGCAGGGCACCCCTCTCCTCCCAGGGCACCCCTCTCCTCCCAGGACACCCCTCTCCTCCCAGCCCCTTTGGGCAGCAGGACCCCCCCCGGCCCCTCCCCGCCACGTTCCCCTCAGCGCTCCCGCCGCCTCTCCCGGCGAGGTTGGGTGACAGTTTTGGGTCACACGAGTTTGTTTCTAGGCTGCAGCGTTTCAATGGGAGTTTTCCCAGTTTAAACAAACAACAACAACAACAACAAAAAAAAACACCTCTGAAATTCTCTTCCATTTTTAAGTGGCCGGGAAAAGTCTCCTGTCTCTGTTTCGGGGCAGGTTCATGTGTCCTGCCTCTCAAAACACATCCTTCTCCTGGCCGTTTCCAGTAGTTGCCCTCAAAATCAAGGTGTTTCAAAACCAATTTTAAACCTGTTACACAGCCTCTTTTAAGCTCTGCAGCAGATGTCAACAGCTTGATATGCACAAAAGAAACACAGCGATGAACTTTGTCGCTTTCTGCGTAATAAACGGTGACAAGCAGTGTGACAGGACCATCTAAAATCCTGGGTATTATGTTTAAGGTCTTTGGGGGAGGTGTCCTTTGTCCCAGCCTGCTTTTATTCCTGGGTTAGAGCTGGAGAAAGGTCTGGAGAATAAACCCTATGAGGAGAGGCTGAGGGAACTGGGATGGTTTAATTTAGAGGAGGCTGAGGGGGGACCTTATTGCTCTCTGCAAGTACCTGAAAGGAGGTCGTAGGGAGGCATGAGCTGTCCTCTTCCATCGGGTGAATAATGACAGCAGAGGAAATGGCCTCAAGTTGCACCAGGGGAGGTTTAGGTTGGGTATTAGAAAGAATTTATTTACTGAAAGAGTGATTAGACAGTGGAACAGGCTGCCCAGGGAGGTGGTGGAGTCATGGTGCCTGGAAGTATTTAAGAGAAATATAGTGCTTAGCAGCATGATTTAAGCACTCATCTGGTAGATTAGGTTATGGTACGGGGATTTAGGTTATGGTTGGACTAGATGACCTGCTGGGATGATTCTGTCCAGGGTTAAGACTCCAGCGTTAAGGGTCAAGGTTTAAGGGTCCAGGCATAAGCATCTAGATTAAATGGTTTAGGGTTAAGGGTCTAAGGTTAAGGGTCTAGGGCTAAGGGCCTAGGATAAGGGTCTACTATTATAGGTCTATGGTAAAGTGTCGAGGGTAAATGATCTAGCTGATGTGGTAGTGTTAGGTCATAGGCTGGACTTGATGATCTCAAAGGTCTTTTCCAGCCTTGGCAATTCTGTGATTCTGTTCCTTCACAACCAGCATTTTCACTCCTTTCCTCTCCCCTTAGTCCATTACCAGGACAATTTCAGTGGGAGTTACTGGACAAAACACCTGCTCTTTTCCCTTGCCAGGTCATATGGTGCCATGAAAAGATCTCGAAAAGGGTATCAAGTCGTTGAGGGTCAGAACAGAAGATCAAAGGTCAGTGAAGTTTTTTTCCTTACAAATAGCAGTGCACCCACAACCACAGATGTAAAGGGGCAGAGTTTGGGGAGAGGAGGTTGGTTGCTCATTTTCGAGGTAAAGGAGTATTTTCTGGGACAGAAGCACAAGAAAGATGTGGACCTGTTGGAACGTTTCCTGGGAAGGGCCTTGGAAATTATCTGAGGACTGGAGCACCTCTCTTATGAGGACAGGCTGAGGCAACTGGGGTTGTTCAGCCTGAAGAAAAGGCTCCGGAGGGACCTTGTAGTAGCCTTCCAGTGCCTGAAGGGGCTACAGGAAAGCTGGGGAGGGTCTTTTTTACAGGGGCTTGCAGTGAGAGGACAAGTGGTTGTAAGTGGAAAGAAGAGAGATTTAGGTTAGAGATCAGGCAGAAATTCTTCAGTGTAAGGGTGGTGAGAGACTGGAACAGGCTGCCCAGGGATGTTGTGGGGGCTCCATCCCTGGAGGTGTTCAAGGGCAGGTTGGACTGGGGCTCTGAGCAGCCTGTTCTAGTGGGAGGTGTCCCTGCCCACGCGGGGGAGTTGGAACTCGATGATCTTTGAGGTCTCTTCCAACTCCAAACATTCTGTGATTCTGTGATTCCATCTAAATGAATGCTGCCCACATAAATGTTCTTCACTTGCATTCATGTTCATGCAAGAAGAAGCACTGTCTGACAAACCACAAACTTCTCACAGCACTACTGTGTTACCCACAGCAAGCAGGGCCCACTTTCAAAAGCTGGAAAAATCGCAGAATCACAGAATCTCATCATGAGGAGTTATTACAGAAATGAAAGACAATTATTGTAGTCAGAACTACAGGGCTGTTTTGTTGCTTAACTTTTGGATGCCACTTGACTGAGCAGATGAACAATAAAGCAAGCAAGTAATTTTCCAGGCTCTTAATGCAAACAAACATGATTTTAGATGTTCTTTCCTATAGTAATTATAACAAGTGCTCTAGTGTTAGCCTGCAGCAAAGAGAAAATTATGTGCATAACTTATCAGCTTTTATTATTAGAAGAAAGGGACTTCTCAGTGCTAAAAGTCTCCCATGTTGCCACTTGAGCTTCCAACAGGCAGAATCTGACAGAGCTTGTAAATAAAAGCCTTTTCACAGTACTGCTGCAAGTTAAATGTAAAGCAGCTTCTGAAACAATTAAACACTGGTAAAAATTTGTCAGCATTGGCAGAGAGCATGTGACTGCTTCATAACAGCTTTGCATGTTTTATCTTTATACTGCTCCATCCTAATTTGTGTCTTATTTTGTTAGTTAATGCCACTTTTAGAATGCCAGCTGAAGAATTTTTGAACACTTTATGTTTAAAATTTATCTATTTTATTGTCTATGAAAGGCATCCAGACCTAAAAGCAGTAAGGAAAACAAGCTTTTGACTTCTAAATGTTTCAACAGTTTATAGTCCAATTCTGTGAACTTCATAAAAGAACAAAATAATCTTGACCAATTTTAATAACTCAGCTATTAAAGAAAGACTGCAAACAAACAAATGAAACTCAAGACTAACTGCAAAAGCTTCATGTTTAGGGACCCAAATGGGCCAGGGTATAGTCCATTTGTTCTCTCCTGCAGGAAATGAGGTTGTCTTTTTCTTGTGTGAAGGTACTTCATTTTGGGTTGCAGACTGTGTGAGCCATCATTAAAGCAGCCCAGATCTTTTCAAAAACTTTTCTTAGCAGCTGTGTGTTCCAACCCTCTACTCCTATTTATTTTGCTTACATTGTGTGGCACATCTGGATAGGTACATTCCTGTTCACATATCAAGTGCATTGAAATCTCCCACTTTTTTCTCCTGCTTGGCTGAAATAACCCAGTCCTGTAACAGAGGCTTGAATAAAAGTCTCAAAGGGATTAATTTTTTCTTGATAATTACCCCACTGCTGTCTTGTCCAGTGAATGCAAAGGCTTAATGCTCCTCAAAGATTGCTATGGTAACACATTGCAATGTCTCAGAAACCAGGATATACTTTGAAAAAGAGAAGAGGGA